GATAACCAAAATCTTCCTCAATGAGGCATAAGTGTAGTCCGCACATTTCTGATTAAAATGAGCCATCTCTCAGCTCTACATGACTTTTCTTTGCAGAGTTATAGAATTTACAAGAAAAGCCCTCAATGTTCATTGTCAGCTCAAAGCTATAGAAATAAGGAAAAAATTACTTTAGGGCTTTTCTTGTAAACCCTATAACTCTGCAAAGAAAAGTCATGTAGAGCTGAGAGATGGCTCATTTTAATCAGAAATGTGCGGACTACACTTATGCCTCATTGAGGAAGATTTTGGTTATCTTTTAGAGTTTCTGAAAACGGGTCTCTGGATGCCTAACTGCCCGTCTCATGTCGATATTCGGAAGCAGCATGGTCGATTAACTATCATCGACTAGGTTTCGTCTCCAAAGCGATTGGACAGTTGTCGGATCTCCCTCGTAAGTTAACACCCCTAATAGTACTGGCCACTCTTAGTCAAACTTACTCCACAACATATGTAAAAATCAGCCAATTCTGAGATACTTGTGTACCAAACCTACATCACTTATTCAAAACTCACTCCTAAAAAAAGTTCCACTGTAGGCCAAGAAAAACTTTTTCTTTGTTTGTTTTAGAGATTCGGATATTGCATAACTATTTTTGCCAAAATTATCCGTCTGGAAAAGTAGACAAAATGAGATTTATTAAAGATTACAAAGTTCGTTCGTATAGTCTTCTCATCTCACATATTTCGTTCATTTATCATCGGATTTTTGTTCTAGGAAACTTCTCCACATGCAAGAGATAGTATTGTAGAAAATTCTTTTGCAACATTCGATAAGAATCAGTAGGTTGATAGGGTTTGTTTCGTTTGTTTGTCTGACTCAGCACATTAAAGTTACTTGTCAATATTTATTTTTGAATGTGTGCAGAGATGGTACAATTGATTTTGTTGACTTTGTATTGTCAAATTCAGGAACAAGGTAATTTTTGTATATTTCTCTGAAAAACTAGGCCAAGTGGCACTAAGGTTATTTGTTTGCCCACAATATTGTCGAACAAAAATCGTATATTTGGAATCCGCATCGAATCAGCTAAAGGAAACGATATATTCAGTTTTTTAAAATACCGACTTTCATTTTTTCCAAAATTCGTATCTCGTATGATCAACCCCTGGAAAATCGACAAAACTTTCCTTCTCTAATTTATTTAAAATATATATCACTCGACTCAAAAATTGACGATGATTCTAAATATTACGTTGGTTTTGCTTGATAACGTTTCTAGAAATGAAGAGATAAGTTGTTTTGGTACGAGGTATTTGTGATGTTTCTGCGGTTCTGACGGTCAGCCACCTTACGAACTAACTTAGAAACATTCTAATACATATTCGGTCATATGTAAAAGCGTTATCTCTATCATTGAGTCATGTAAAATGTGACATTCAATCAATTTTCCCGGAAAAACTGAAAAATTCGTAAAAAGTATAACATTTTTGCCTCCTGATGACGACTTTGCACGATGAGTAACTCTTTATCTGATAGGTTAGATATATGTATCTACTCAAGTTTTCATGCTCTGCCGAAATATGACTTAAAAATAAAAATAAAACTGCAGAAAATGGCCGAAAGTGGAAATACCTCAAAAAGTAGAAAAACTGACCATCAAAACGCAACGTCATGTGCCGAAACAGTCATGAAAATGCATAAAAATATCACATTTTGTAATCAGCGTAAAAAATTGAATCGAATGATGTAACTTTCAGCATATTTCTAAAATATTCTGTTTTATTAGAAAATCTAACCGTGTCCACTCCAACTGGCAGATGAACAAAAATAGTTTTTTCTCAATGCCATATCAGTAACATTGAAAGTTACATCATTCGATTTAGTTTTTCACGCTGATTACGAATATGACATGTTAATGCTTATATCTGGTTGTTTTGATATCTATAATCTCACAATAATAGTAAGTTTTCCTACTTCTCGACATATTTTCCACTTTTGTCCACATCCTTCATCTTTTTATAATTTTGCGCCTATGTTTGAAAAGAACACAAAAATTGAATTGATTCTGTATGTGCGAGGTCGTGCATAATTTGCATCCGCTGCGAACTCATTTTTCTGTAATTTTGTTTTCATACGGGTATCTTAGTTAGCCTTACAGAGCTTGTTGGTTGGCGACTCACTCTCACGTTACGGCCAAACCCACACACCAAAATCTAGTTTGAAACGAAGTGATTATATAACTATTATTTTTGAATTCTACTGATTTTCAGTCTTAGGCCAAAAATTTAATGAAAAATCTAGTTTTGAATGTTTCACTGTACATAATCTGGATAGAGAAAAGGTTTTTATGCAGGAATAAATATATTTCCTTGTTTCAAAATCAGTTCCTGAGTCGGCTAACGGCCAGACTGCAAAGAAGTCAAAGACAGTTCCTATGTAGAAATAGTTTTTTCACTTCTAGAAAAGTTGTTAAGCAAAACCAACCTGATATTTAGAATGATCTGAATCGAATGAAGTACAGTTTAAGGAAATTCGTGAAAAAAATATATACCTTTTATATATATATTCTAAATAGCAAACATGTCGTTATTGTTTATTATTTTTTAGTAAAAGTAATTTTGATAATCAGCTTGAGATTGCTTTTAATATCTATGATACCTCGGGAGACGGTCAAATTGATCAGAAGGAATTAGAAGATATGATTTCAGCACTGGTATGGGCTATGTATTATATACTGTTGTTTTTATCTAAAATGAAGAATAGAAATTAAATTAATTATGTTCTGTTTTCAATAGTCTGATTTGAACGATAAAACAGATCATGAAGGTGATCATGATCCAAAGAAACGAGCAACGGAAATTATAGCAAAATTAGATATTACAGGCGATAAAAAAATATCGAAACAAGAATTTATTGATGGGTAAATAAGTATTGTACTATCTTTTTCATTCGGTCAATCTATTGTTATATGAAGCAAAAAATCATTCTAACTCTGTCGGTAATTACTTCATTTTACTTTATTTTAGTTGTAAAAATGATGCAAGTATGCGTGCAATCTTAGTACCAGTAGCCTTATTACAATTGAAACGAAAATGACCAATAAATCACATGAATCTAATTTACAGCTGTTGAACTGCCCGATGTACTATTCATCTTATTATAGACTTTACTTTGATATACGTGAGAACTACATTTCCAATGGAAGAATAAAATTGATGCTTATTTGTAAAATGGAAGCACTAGCATAAAATAAAACAGGTAAATCGTTCATGATACCTATCACCGTTCGACATATAGTGGAACGGTACTAACCGATATCGCTCTAAAACGGATAGAAAAATTATACCGTAAACAGCGATGAGTTGCTAAATATAACTGCTGATTCGATGATGTCACAGGAAACAACAGAAGTATAGATTCTTGGCTATGCCCTGTGCAGGAAGTGTTGCAAAAGGTAATATTAGTTCCAGCATCTGGTGACAATAAGTTTGGTAGTCGATATATATGAAAACAGGGTGCCCAGTGATCCGTTCGCGAAACATTTAATTAAGAATAAACATTTCAAATGTGGTTCGCTTTGGGCTTTCATTTCAATTTTCCGTCGCGCTATTTCTTATTTGATTACTGTCGACGTCAGACAAAGCAGAATAGACAAAAAACATCAAAAGGAAAAGGAATTCTTGTTTTCTTCTTATGAATAGGAACATAACTCAAATAGAAGGGAGGTATATATTATTTCTACTGTTCTTTCGTTACTACAACGGTAATAACTGTACGAATATGCAAGGAAAGAATATTACATCATTAATCGAAGAACTTATAGTCCGAAGAAAAATGATGTGCGTTAGTAAGTTAAGTTATTGTATCACCGAAAGAAATTATTTCTTCGAAAGAAGAACAGTTTGATTAAGCATGCACCAATACAATATATTGGGTGCCAATAATATTGGTCACCCAAATATATTGGGTTTTTACAATATTATTAATTATTGGGTCGCTTGAGTTCGGCCTACTTTTACAGTACAGACACATGCTCTATATCCCGTTTTGTATTCAAAATATAGCCAGTTAGGCATGCACCGATTAATAATCGATGTTAGGGCATTCAGCAAAGTCGTTCTGAATCAGTTATAAAAAGGCACTTAGACAAGGAAGAAAAAATCCGTGATATAATAATCCATTGTGAATCAGTAGTCATTTTGCCGCAAAAGAACTCGTTTTCTAATGAAGTTTTGACTAGACAAATAAAACCTGAGAGACACGTTCTCAGACATACACAAACTAAAAATCCACAATATAAAACAAACATAAAAGACTTCATTATGCATAATCCAAAACAAGAGAAAATGTAGAGTTACTATAATTAGCGTCAAGCTAATTGATAAATAGTGTTTTCTCCTTTTCTGTCTTGAAAACAAACGTACTAGTTTAAAAAGAAACAAGTACATAAATAAGCCAACTAGAAAACGAAAATATTACCACTCAGCCATACTTGTTTCTGGCCATGTGTAAACAACAGAAAAGAAAAAAAGAGAACAAGAATAAATTACTGCTGTTGTTTACTGGATTGTATCAGACGACTTAAGCGATTCGATGATAACTTAAATTGTTTTTCTGTTAAATACCAACAACTACTTTGTTTATGTGAACACGTTAATTTATCTTTTAGTTTAATTTCAAAATATTTGTATTTATTTTCATCCCTAACTGTACTTTTTAATCTAATACCTATTGATACAAAAGGAAAATAAATATAAACATAGGTCTTTTATCTCTTTAAAGTATACAGTCATGCAAAAATATCATTAGTTTTCTTCTTGTAAAGCAGGTTATACGTGCGAATACAGTAAACTGCAAAAATATCCAACGAGCCAGAACCATTCTTGACTGCGTGTGGCTTGGAATAGTACTTAGGGCATACCAAAAGTAGTGAGGGAGGTACTTTATTTTCTTATAGAAAGCTTCAAAAAAATTTCTTTTTTAATGAACAGATAGAGCGTGTTTCGCTCTACTTTTCTATGCTATTTGATCACTATTCAACTAATATCATAATAATAAAATTGCGACAAGATCCGTTTCTTTCGCATATGTGCTGGTAGCATGAATGCTCGTATGTACTTTTTGCATAACGTTTGATAGCAACAAGATAGAGACCTACGGTTTTCACCGTTGGAAAGAGGAGATGAAGACGCATCGAAATGTACATTACTGATTTTTTTAATATGATTTCCGAAGTGTTTTTATTCAATTTTCTAACCATCGGAAAAATTTTTGTTCATGAAAATAAGCAAAAACAAAAACGTTGATAGAAAATCGTAGTAGAGGTTCGTCTAAAATACGTACTGTCTCCAAATAATTAAATTTAAACATCTGAGTCTTTCCCGGTTTGTAGATCTTCGATTAGCGGTTTGAATGTGAGCCTGATTATTGAAAGTTTACTGTAAACAACTTACAGGATAGGTTTGTCCTTTAAAAGGTCAACTAAAAACCTTGTAAAAACCAGGTTAGAAAAATCGGTAATATGTGGTTCGATGCGTCTTCATTTTTTCTTTCAAACGGTGAAAACTACAGTTCTCTGTCTTGTTGCTATCAAAAGTTGTTCGAAAAATACTCACGAGTATTCATGTCATGCGAAAGAAATAGATCTTATCGAAATTTTATTGTTATAATATTAGTTGAATATTGATCAAATAGCACAGAAAAATAGAGCGAACGACGCTCTATCTGTTCATTAAAAAAGAAATTTTTTTGAAATGCTCCTTAAGAAAATAAAGTACCTCCCTCACTACTTTTGGTATGCCCTAAGTAAATCCAAAATCCTGATCACTTCAAAAGTTTCAGGTCATTTGACTTTATTGTTTTAGAGTTATTTTAATTTTACTATATTGCCTTCAGAGCAGTGGAGGTAATCCAGTACGAAGTGTATAGTAACTTTTCTTCAACTATATGTTCCATAACTTAGGTCCTTTACACATAAACTCGTAAGTTGGACTTTTCGCACCGACGAAATTCATTTTCTTTCATCTCAGTGTCACTCTTTTGACTTGAAGCCTGCGCAGAATACTCTTTGCTAGTCGTGGACTATTCGTACGACAAGACTATAATGGCTACTAATTGAATGAATCATGTCTCAAACTAAACAAGCTAAAGGATTGTGTGTTAGGCGATCGATATTTTTTTGCGGTTTACTGTAGATAGGATTAAAATTATTAGTCCTGTAAGAGAAAAAGAAAATGTTAAAACTGTAAAACAGCATTTATAAAATCACCTGTATATTTAGACGAGTGTGCATTTGCAAAGAAATCTTGTGTTATGTCATTATCATCAATACTGTCGTTTTTTTCATTTTCATGATCATTTACATTTGTTTCAATATCACCATCATACGATTCGTCATCATTGGTGTTGCTATTTAAGCTATCTTCGTCTTCCTCCTCATCTTGAGTATCTGTTTCTGATTCATTAAAATTTGTTCATTAAAATTGTGTTTCGTTTAAAGTATGCGCTGATAACTGTTGTTTAATTGATTCTGATAATTTATTCAAATTAAAACAACTATTTTCCATTAATACTTCTTTCATTTTAACATATTCAGCCATTGTTTGTGCAGTTCTAAAAGTTTTTTCAATTAGATCTTTTAAACTTGTTATTTTAAAATCATCATCGTCCGTCAATATTGATATGCTCTGCTGCAATAAACATTTTACTTTATGATGAATTGGAAATATAAGTCGATTTTCATTGTTTGTCGCTTCTTCGGATTTGATTTGGTCTAAAATATTTACTTTATTGATACCTTTAACAAACTGTTTTATCGTGAAATTGATTCTTGTCGAAATTGTTCCAGATAAAGCTCGTGCATTGCGGAAAGTATTTTCACATAGTTGTGAAGAAAATAAATAGCTTTCACTTGCTGTACGTGGTAAAACTTTTTGTTTTATTAATAAATTAAATAAATCAATTGGTGTGCATTAATTTCACAACAATAATAAGCGTTTGACATTATAAAGTAACATGAATCACTTTGGTTTCTTGTGTCTCGTTGTTGTATTTGATGATAATGGTGGTTGTTGTTGTCGTGATGAACGCGTAAAAATCAACCATATTTTCCAAAATCTTATGTAAAACACAGCAATCCACGCACAAAATATACGTTGTTTTGAGTGGTACGAATGGTTCAGTATAGGAACAAATTAATAAATTTAATAATAGTAAATAAATATATGTACCGTTTAGCATTTTTAGTTAATAAACCAAGTACAGATTCTGATGATATTCTTTGACAAGAAGCAAAATTTTGTCTATCTTTCACATTCAAATCACATTTTGTAATACCGTGGTCTAATTTATTATTTGTTTCAATCAATTTTTATAAATGTTTAATTGAAATTTGATATGATCCCATTAATAACTCAGATGTTAATGATAATGATCTATTTCTGATTTTGGTTGCTAAATGTATTCCATCTTGGAAATAAAGAAATAACTGTGGGGATTTCATATAATACCACGTCCATTTAAGAATTTCGACTCTAAACGCATTTATATTTTTATTATTAATAGTGTTGCAATAATTTACAAAAAGTTCTGAACCAATATGCATTGCTTTAAGATATTTTGGATCGCCGTCAGTGCTATATCCTACTACTCGTATACCCCGTGAAATAAATTGTTTAAATATATTTAACCAACGTTGTAAAATTTCTATACTTGTGATTTTATTATTTGTGCCATAGGCAGATAAAATAATAGATGAAGTCGTAAGATTAGTAATTGGTTGTACAACATGGATATTGACTAAAGTTGATTGGGGTACTGTTCGATATAAATATTCTAATTGTTCAAATGCTGTACATCGATATGCTTGTGGAACTGGTTCACCATTTACCATTGGTGCAACAAAGCCTGTAAAACAATTTTTATTTACATCGTATTCTACTCTTGGAATAATATTAGTACAATTTTCTAATATAAATACATTTGAACAATTAATTAACTTCATATGTTGTTTTACTTCATTATAACCAAACTCGGCTTCACTTCATTTTTCAAAACATAACTTTTTGTTGAGTGATTGAATCGTTGGTAAAGCATATTGTAAATTTAAGCGAAGAAATTCGTATGCATTACGATCAGCGAGTATTAGTAACGATTTTGAAAATGTTACTATTTTGTCATTATACATATAATGGTGTTTTGATCGTTTAGAATTTTCTTCGATTGTTGATAGAAACGTTGTTAAAAATGTTTGAGTTAGTGTCATGCCGCGGTTGTAGTTAATAGCAGTCGGAGTTGTAGCAGCAGTACATGTTTGTTTCATGCTAATACATTCTTTTGTACTAACTTGTGATGCTGTTTTCGTTGCACTACGGAGGCACGGTTTTTTTGCTTCAGATGAACTTCGCAAACGTGCTAATTGCTGAAACAGACAGAAAAAGACAGGTGGTACAGATTATATTGGTAGCTTTGTTTATGATTATATCTCTGCTTCCTCTAATTCGGTATACCTAATTTTCTTGGAAAGAAGTTATCATATATTTGTGCAGAAAAAATATAGAGTTTTATGGAATTCTCCCGTTCTATTGTACAACACAAATTTGAAAAGCGAAAGACAAAACATTCTGGTGCTCCAGTACGACCATATTGTTTTACAATTTTTTTTTTCATTCATAAAACAACATACTCAGTGACTGTATATAAAAACCTACGTTTTGCGATTGTACGTGTTTAATTGATTGGACAGTTGGAGGTTCCACTGGTTTATTTGCCTCATCATCATCATCATCTCCGGATAAATTTTACACTAATGTCCTCCTTCTTTGCTTACATCTTACAGCAGAACTATTACTACTTAACTCTTTGATATCTAGCACATGCCTAAGGAAAGCTTTTATATTTTTAAAAGGTGAGAAAGTTGTGTCATATCAGTCCAATAATCTGTAAACTAGAAGCATGGCTTTCGAAATGCATTGAACTAGAAGCACATCTATTGCATACTTCGGGTCATTACCTGTGATCACTACAAAGTCACTACAAGGCCGCTACGAGGCCACTACAAAGTCACTACTGTAGTGGAAAAAGTGTAGTGTAGTGTTGTTTTTCCCCCTTGTTAAAATGCCTTCCAAAATCGTTACTTTCCCAGTATAACTGTTGAAACTTTCAAAAAAGACATGGTTTTGTAGTCCAATTTCGTTGATGAAAAGATAAAGGATTTCTCAAGCTGGCTGTAGATGCTGAGGTCTGCGGAGAACTCCTTAAAAACTGCAGGTACAAAACACTGAAGTGGCATAATTTCGATTAGTATAGTTGATTGGCACATGTGTACTAATGTGCCAATCAAAATCATGTCATTTATGAAAGTTTCAACAGTTTTACTGGGCGATTTTGCGATTTTGAAAGTCATTTTAAGCCGCTTTCTAGATATCTCTGGCATACTTAAAAAATAGTTACCGTAAAGTTAACTAACTGATAGTTATCGTTATTTCAACGGTAACTGGAAACGCAGTTACCATTAAACTAACGGTAACTGTTTTTCCAGCTACCGTTAGTCAGTGTAACGGAAACCTTTGCAGTCCTACTCAAAACTCTTTTTAGGATTATAAAGATCTTTCAACTTTTGCCATTCGTTTCAAGTATAAGTCGAGTTCTACAAAGCGAGATAGATGCTGGCGTTCGATCTTATATAGGAATGGTAGCGTCAGGTCATATGGATTGATCCGTGGTATACGCAATCTTTATTTATGTAAGTACTTCCACACCGCTATTTCTGTGTCATTTGTAAATTTGATAACATAAGAATTTTTATTAGTACTAATTCTACACATATAACCACATCCATAAGCTATATCTAATTGCAAATATGTTGTGCATTGGAAACTTGACGACCAAAACTGTTTGCATATTGCTGTAAGAAGGACCATATTTGGTTGACATAAAACACTTATATAATTATAGTCACTATACGGTGTGAATGACACAATTGGTCTATTAAACCAATAAGCCGCAGTCATATTATGTTTAACTGATTCCAATTCAGTTTTCATCTAATAAGATGTCGATGGTTTAACCCGATCAAAAAGATCAAGCACTGTGTATAAGTCGCACTCGAAATTTACACCGCCTATAAATAACTCAAGTGTGATTGTACAACGCTTATTACTTGCACATGTAGCATTAGCATTTATACGTCCATTCGTAGATGCAGGCGGACAACTAGCGGCCTTTCATAAAGGAGGTCAGACCAATATCGTTAATTTACTAACTACGCTTCTTCATGGATTCGCTGCTTTTATTTCATTCATATATCAAAGAGGTCGCACCCTTCAAAAAAACAATTCCAGGAGCAACAACATGGATCTGTCGTCATTTGTACGGTTGCGGAAAAGTATATGTAGCATCTTAATAGTCCATGCAACAAAAGCGTATTCGCACTTGTGTTTAACAAATATTCGACTCGATACACACCGTAGGAGGCGCCTTATGTGGTCGGCCGCTAGCATCGTTTCCGTTACAGTCGATCTCAACGTAATAATATTTCCTCTTGGCATAATTGATGGCACAGTAGCTTGAAAAGCGGAACTATTGTGAGAAACAAGTTCAAGGTATTTAACATTATCTAATTCTAGAAAACAACGTAAACAAATAAAACATATACGCAGGCAGTACAATGCAATTAGATACTCATTCGTTTGTATTCTTACATTATCTAATTTATCTGAAAATGTTTGTCCTGGCATATCAACGTAAGGTAATTCAATAATACTCAAAACACCTGTGTAATCTGTGCCTGGTATTAAATTTGTGCATATTACAAAACAATCTTCTACTATTTTTGTGTCATTGTTAGGACATTCAAAATACATATACTATTTGTCCACTATATCTTTACAGGCTAAAAACCACAGAAAAAATAGAACTCAAAAGTGCAAACTTTTCTTCATTGAAATTTTTTTAAACGAAAACTCGATATGAATTAAAAACTTGGTGTTCTTTCAACTCTCCGAATGATTCCAAAGCATTACCATAAAATAAGCGTATTTTTCTTCCTTCAAAATAAAACAACCAGATCTGCTTAAGCATTTATTTCACTTCATTTTTCCTTACTAATAAAAGCAGTTAGAAAAAATGCGGATATTTTGATTTATCCAAAACATCTTAGAGATAAAAAATGGGCTGCCGATGGCTCTCTGCTTGTTTGAAACTATTGTGAGGGTGAGGAAACAAAATGTTTTTTCGACGATCGGTTGCGGTACTGTAAGATCGAAACTTGTGCACACCTCAACACATCTTGACAAGATTAAACTACATTTTTACTTCTTTTTTTAAAATCTTTTTGATGGACTATCGTCTAACACTTTACCAAGTATGTACTTTATAAAACATTTGTCAACTTTTTAGAAAGAAAGGGAGAAGACGGATAAGACCATTTTTCGTCCCTCAATATTTTGGAAAAAGAATTACATATTCGGATTCAGCGTCGTGTTACGACCCACCTCTCTCTGTGTGTCGTAAGAACATCTCTTTCCTTCCTTTCTTTCTTGTTTCGTAATTACGCAACAGTCCATGGGCACAACCTCTGCACATAATTCAACGTTGCGCAACTATTGTTTCATTCTTCCTCTCATAGTGCAACATAGAAGTTTTAATGAGTTGGGACTCATTGAAACTTCTATGTTGCGTATGTTACGCATTATCTACGCAATTCTCGAGCGCGCGTATATATAGTGAAGATTTTCCTTTCATTTGATTATTCGTAGCGTTTAGTGTATTGTACTTTATTGTATTGTTCTATCTTTGGTGCGAATAAATATTCGGAGTAATAAATAGACTCATCACACGTCGAATTCTGCATCGAATGACGTAATCGATTCACTCGGAGAGCGAGTTTTATGTTTTTCGAAAAATTTTCGCCTCCATGACATCTGAAACTGCGAAAAACTTTTTTCTCAACATGAAAGATACACCATTCAATGCAGAATTTCATGCTCTTTATGAACATCAAATCGAAAGTTGCAAAACGTTCAGTCTTGACGGAAAAAATTGCATTTTACGGGAAGATAGCGTTGGTGACCTAAATGAACAAATGCAGTTTTAGTACCTCAAGATGATGTTTGATAACATTGAAAACCAGCTAGATATACTCAACAGCGTACTAGCTTTCCAAAGCATAAAGTTTTCTAGAAAATCTTCGAAACTTTTTTCAACATGCAGTTCAATAGAGTATCAAAGTCTGAGCAAAGTGTTTTATTATTTACAGTTTTTGGTCGATATTCAACGAACTAAAGCACTTGAGATTTGACTGGAGGAAAAGTCCGGCACAAAAACTGCATTTTTGGAAGCTTGATTTCTCCGTACACAAATGGCACATAAATTGCAATAATATAGCATTTTACTCAGAATTTGATGCTCTGTCGATGTTAAAAGAAATTTCGAAAGTTTTCTAGAAAACTTCACGCTTTAAAATCCAGTTTTTGAAGAAAGAGTATTTTTTTGACTTAAAATAGATTTATTCGATAGAGCATTATGTGGACGAAAAATGGTCTTATCCGTCTTCTCCCTTTCTTTCTAAAAAGTTGACAAATGTTTTATAAAGTACATACTTGGTAAAGTGTTAGACGATAGTCCATCAAAAAGATTTTAAAAAA